ACTTGTTGCACTTCAATGTGGTAAATTGTATTATCATTCAATAAACTATAAAAAAAAAACAATTCATCGTATCGGTTTGCTTTGAAGCACCATAGCTTCTATTTGGGCAGAACATTTTAACTCACAGGTGAATAAACACATTATATGGGGAAATAAGAGAATTCATCATTTTAATGAATCAGAAACTTCAAATGTATTAAAATGTTTCTTAATGACGTTTTGCAATAAACTGACGATATACACATTGAAATATATTCAAGAAACCTGTTGGCTCTGTAATAATGAAAGGACACTATAAGGGTTTCTATTGGAGGTTGGAAGCTGTAGAAGGGTTCGGTTACCGTTAATGGCGGCCAATCCCCGGCTATTGTCTTAGTCGGCCAGTGTTTTCAGCAATAACAGTTCCCAAAACCTTTTGGCCCTCAGCCGACAGATTTTTTCCATTTGACTTATCCGTCCAAAGCCGGCCAAATACTGTTTGTTCTTACTTAGCGCCGGCCCTCTCGCTAGTTGCGCTGAGCGGGGAACTTTCCTATCGGCCTGATTGATGATCAACCGCAGCGGTTTTAGCTTCAAAACACTTCCAATGGATGTTTACTGCTCTCAGCTTCAAGGACGTCCGAGTAAATAGATCAATACATACATTAAACCATAATACATGAAAAAGTTGGCTTTGGCTGAATATGTTGTCCAAAGTACGCCGTAGTCATTCTTAAAAATTCGGAAGTCCTTCATATCTCTTTTTAATTGTTAAAACATTTTTGTATCTCCAGGAACACGAAATAAATTAAATTAACTATTTATTATGTTAAGAATTTATTAACAACTAGCTGACCCGTGGGAATACTCCCCACAAACCTAATATTTCCCTTCTAAACTAAACTTCTGATTTTAATACATTAAGGGCTCAGCACAACTTCCATTCAATAATATTTGATACGCAAAGGTTTAATACACGTGTTTATTAAGCATGAGTTATAAACATGATTCACAATCTGCTATGGTTCAATCATTGCGTTTCCTTAAACTTATAATTTAAACATTAGCTTTCTTCCTTCATTAGATTATCATCATAAGTTAACAAAAGCTTCTAAACATTGCTCTGAACCTCAGATAGCGTATAAAGAAAAAAAGTTCAAATTCTCAGCGAGAAATAGTTAGTGCAATCAGGATGTAATCTATATATATATATATATATATATATATATATATATTATTATTATTTCTTAATGATATTTACAACTGTATTAAAGAAATACATCTAGTAAATTTGGACATATGGATATAATGACGTGATAACACTTGCTGAGTAACTAAGCAATGGTAACCCTCTAATGATATGTCTACATAAGGAGATCACGGGGCCATCTCCTTTTCAGACGCCTCGGAGGGTTATCAGGAATTGAAGAGGAAGCAAGGTTAGAAACGAAAGGGTTGGGATGAATCTATAGTTTATTATGGAAGGATGGGTATCTGGATATGGGCAGATCTGAAACATAAGAAACATTAAGGTCATTATGGATGGTTTTATTTGTAACAAAGTAGGGAGCATTGAGGATTTTACGAAGAATTTTGGATTGTTAGGAGTGGATACGAGAGGAATTCGATGGTTTAGTGGAGCCCCATAGCTCAACTCCGTAAGTCCAAATAGGCCTTATTATAGTCATGTATATGAGTATTTTGTAATTGATTGAAAGTTTAAAGCGTTTGTCTAGTGAGTGCTGAAGTAATCAGAAACGTCGAGCGGTTTCTTGTCGTTTCAGTCAGGTATGGGGATTTTATTGTTAAAAAAATAATAGAAAGTGTATTTTTAATATGATAAACTTCAATAATAAAAAGATCAAAAAGGAAAAGCTAAAATAATTGAAGCACATTGACAAACATTCCAAGAAGTGTTTTATGGAAGATCCATTTATACAAATGAAAATAAAATTAATAATTTAATTAATTAAAAACAATCAAATGTTTTGAAATTTAAAAATAGTTAATTACATACTACACCTCGGAAAAAAGGGGCCAATTCCCAAAATCATAAATGCCCATATGTAGTTCACCAAATACTAAATGTTCAGAACGCTATAACTCAACACGAAATCGTCCGAATTCGAAGATTTTTTTTTTAGTAATAAGTTTTCAAATACTGGTGTTTAATGGACCCAAATTATTTATTAATTTGTAATGTCTCGATTCGTTGAGACGGCACCATCTTTGTACAGTTTCAATATAAGTCAACGAGCATACTCAGAACGTAAAGAGAGACTGCTAACCGCAGTTTTCGTAATAGGCGATCGCATATGTGTGTGTATGGTACACACTTAAAAGCAGGCGATACGAAAGGAGGGAGCAGTCAGTTACCAGGGCCTGGATTCCTGAAGGGGCGGTCTACAACGTTTTAATCGTTTAACTTCCCAAATGTTAATTAAAATAAAGTATAGGTAATAAGGGTCACATATGTTATATAACACTAATGTAATATCTTTACATAATATTTTTGTTGGATTCCTACTTTATAAAAGGCTTCAGTTTGGTTTTAGTGGTGAATTTAATATTTTGTGGAAAATTGTAGCCTAGACCCTTGGTTTCTCTTCGTGTCCATGCTTTGTAGTAAGGTATTTCTTTTTTTTCATGTATAATGGAAGTGTTAAAAAGTATGTTTAGATTTGGTCATTATTAATTCACTTTTAATTTTCTTCCTGTTTTTCTTTTTTCTTATGTTGAGTACAATAAGAGATTTTTCTGTAGTTCTTTGTAATAAATGTTTATACTAAGGTTAAAGTACTTTTATAGGTCTTAATAAAATCATTTAAGACTGATTTACTTTCATTTTTTTGTTAATGTTTAAGCCATTTAAATTTTTGTCCAGTTGTTATAACATTTTTTATGGTTTTTTTTTGGTGAATAAATTGATTTTTTTTTTGTTAAATAATATATAAAAATTTAATTTTTGTTATTAAAGATATTATTTCGATGTATGGAATAATCATTTCCGTTTGGCCACAGCTGAAATGCCCATCAGGAGGCGACTGAAAAAGAGCTGTATGAGACTCCTCCTTAGTTAAGGAAGTAAACACAGTTCAGGGAAGAAATGCTAATGGGTACTATTCTTCCTCATGTCTAGAATACCATTTTACAATTATTGTAACTATAGCTTATTCTGACTTTAATAACGGGTGTCGATGAAAATTTGAAAAGAAAAAAAACAATAGTCAATTGCGAACATTTTAGAAAACTTAAATCCCACGAAAACTATAGAACATCCCCACCTCATCCAATTTGAGGTTTGACATTTAGTTATGGGCTAATTTCATTGTTCAAGTTGGCTAAAGTAAATAAAAGGCAAACGGAGAATCGAGTTGTCTGTTTTCCAAAGGGGTTAGAATAACAACCTCCTTTCATATTTTCCAACCACCATTTACTTAATGGCTTTCGTTTCTCTAAAATTCGTTTGTTGTTTTAAAGTGCTCCTTCACCCATCCCCTGTTTTCTCATCTACTTAAATAAAGTTCTTCCATTAAACTCGAATTCATTGTGTGGAATTAATAAATTATTTGTTTTGTTGCTTCTTTAGGCAGGAACTTTTCAACCTATTAACCAAATATTTTTTCTTTACGTCGAATATCATGGAAATTATTGATATATATAAAGATATGGTTCATTCTATTTATATTGATTTCAAAAGTACATACGATTATTTTGACAGACTGGTAATCCATCAGATTTTAATTGAGCAGGAAATATCATAGACTTTTGTTGATGTTCTTTTCGGAGATATTTAATAGAGTCTTAGGCCCCTTTCAGACTGAAGATGCAAGAAGCAAGATGCATGCGTTCTGGATGCAGGATGCATGTGCGTCTTGCATCTTCTGTTTATATCCATTATCTCTGTTAGTTTAGTACCTGATTTCGAAAGATAAATTATCAATCATCCAACTATTCAGACGTCGAAATTATAATTTTAATAATATTTTTTTTAATATTAATTGATAATGAAATAAGTATATTTTTTTCGCTGACCCAAACAAATTTTAAGTTCATAGTTCTCTTAACTGTTGATTCCAATTTTTGTGACAGGGCCTTCCATGATTTCTGTTGTTCATCCCTTCTTTACTTGTAGTATCGTATATTGCAGGGTAGTCTTCAACTGCTTTAAGAAAGGTCACATTGAAGTTCTCTGTGTCGGGTAACCTAGTGAAAGGGTGGATGGAAGGTTTGTAATTGAAACACAATGCCTAATTGCAATATGAAATAAAATTGAAAAGAAACTGTGAGGGTCGGATGAGTCACCGAATTCTAGGAGCTCGTGGTTCTTAGTGAAGATTAATCAACTTGCAGGCCTTAAAAATGGAAGAGGTAGGACATAGAAACGTTGATCATATACAAAGTAATGAAAACAAATGGATGATAAAGTTCACAATATGATTAACTTCATTTATATTTTGATTACTCTTTTTTTAGTTTATTATTTTCAATAATCAACCATTGTGATCGAACAAAAAATTCAAAAACTTAACTCCCTCTCAAAACTTGAGGTTTTGCGTTTCTACGGATACGTAGAATTCGAAAAACGAATAAAATTTTTTTTGTCCGTCCGCGATCCACCCATTTTCTCCGAAATTACTGGACCTATTTTTATAAATTTGGATTTAAAGTCACCCGAGGATGATCCTCCTTCATCGACATTACTATCCGCATTTTACTTTCAAAATGGCGGCCGAAAAACCTGCGTTGCTATAGACTGTAGCCTCTAAACGAATGTACCGATTTTTAATTAACGATTTATTGCAATTTTGCCATCTAATTTTTAATCTTTCATGGTAATAACAAGAAAAATTAGTAAAAACATATAGAGCAATAGTTGAAAATCAGAGCAATTGATAAAAAAAAATCTTGTGCGCGCAAAACACACTCAGGTAATAGCATGTTTACCTTAAAGCTTATTTTTTTAATTTGAGATATTATAATATTATTTTTAGTAATATTTACTTTTTATTATGTTTCAGACTTTCCGTCATGGATTCCCCCATCAACCTACAGCTGTGGCATTCGATCCCATACAACGTCTCCTTGCCATCGGGACAAAAAATGGATCTCTAAGGATGTATCCTTTCTTTCAATCGAGCTAACTAATTAAAAATTATGTATTTTTTTTTTTATAGATATATTAGATTAGTGTTGCCCGAAATCGGTCTTGCTCTTACACATTGCAAGACCAAGACTGGTAAAATGCTGACCAATTTTCTCGCTGAGCAAAAAGTAGTTTATACACAACCATAATTATATAAATTGTAAATTGTATGAATATAGAACGAAAACAAAAATTCATATTATTATATGAAATATTGTTGATGTTTTTATTTCTATAGGGTAGTCTAAAGCACACGCCGTAGTTTTTTTGTGGATAGTTTAATTGACTTTTAAAATCTCGAGTTTCCATTAATAGTCCTGTGAACTGATTGTAAAACTATTTATATAAATATATTATGTTAAATCATATTTTTGAACGCGAAACATTTAAATGATTTACATGCAGGACGTAATTATTTCTTATAGAATCCCGCAAAAAAGCGATTCTCAACTCTACATCATACTGGGAGCTTATAGTCTTTATAAAGGTATCTTCAGATCATCGGCGAAGAGCTACTATTCATTTAAGCCATTATTCGCCGACTTATTCCTACGATTGCGCTGCTACAAACTTTATTTTAATGGTGTGTTGAATTTACCAGGTTTACAAATATAATACTCAGCTACAAAGTATAGTTTTGCAATATAAAAAAAAATATTTCTAGTAATGTAATTGGTACCATATAGCAAAATTCCTAGACAAACTGTAAAAAACTATTATATAAATATAATCTAAATAATTATTATCTATTATAAAAAACTGTTATCTGAAAATATATGTTTACAGTTTTTCTGTTATGAAATGGTAGGTATACTGCTAAAAAATGGGTCGAAAATTGATAAACCTAAACCTTAATTTTAAAACATAGCAAGTTCCAACTATTTACAAAAGACTCATATATATTACTATAATAAGGCCTATTTGGACTTATTTGTAATATATATGAGGCCTATTTGGACGGGATCGAGCTTTGAGGCTCTACTAAACCATCGAATTCCTCTCGTGTCCAATCTCTACAATCCAAAATCCTTCGTAAAATCCTCAATGCTCCCTACTTTGTCACAAATAAAATCATCCATAACGACCTTAATGTACCATATTTTTTTCGATTTAGCTCAATCCAGACCTATCCTTCCATAATAAACTTCTGAACCATCCGAACCCTATTGTTTCCAACCTTGCTTCCTCTTCTATTCCTGATAACCCACCGAGGCCTCTGAAAAGAAGATGGCCTCGCGACCTTCTAATATAGAAATATAATTGGAGTGCTATCAATGGGTAGTTGTACATGTCATGTTACTTATTTCATATTTACTAGTTGTATTTATCATTTAATACAGTTGTAAATTTCAATAATAGTAAAAAAAAAAAAAAAAATAGGAATTACTTTTAGACTTTGCTGATATCTTGAAACATTCAGATGGGAAAAAATATATTAAGTGTCAAGGCTTTAAGTGATTAATTTTATGACAAATAAAAAAAAAATAAATCAGTTTAAAAATCGTATAATTTCGTTGCATTGAGAATTCAATTTTTTTTTTTTTTTTTGTGAGAAATGATGAGTAGCTAAATATCAAAGACGGACTCTTGTCATTTTTTAAAAGTTGAGATAAATCCGATTTTCTGTAACATAGCTTTAATTTAAACAAATTCTAAACATTTTTTTTTCATGATTCTACTCAAATATCCTTGAATATAATCGTCAGAAACAGTTTGAGTTGAGAGAGAAACGCTTTATTTTCATATAAAATATAGAATATTGCTGCCCAATTATATTGGGTCGCTATATACACAGCATATATAAATATATAAAACAAAACATGACTTTTTCTCCGCTTTCTGAAACTGGCAGATGTCCGTTTTAGATATAAAGCCACTCATAGTTAAGATCATATAAAAATTTCTTTTCTCTTAGGACAGTTGGGGTTGGCATTTTTTATTGTTATAAAGTTTGTAATAAATCCAATAATAATAAATATTGGCGAACTTCTTTCCAGATACAACCAAAACTGACTATGTGAAGCACTTAGAAATCATGTTTTCTTTGGAGTAGCTAATGTCATGTTACCTAAAAATTATCCGTTATTGCTATCCTAAATTTAAAATTCATCAAAATATTCATTTATAAATATTTGTAATAACAATTATATGTAAAAATATACATATAATTAATATAACACACACACACATATATTTTTATATGTGTGTATATGTATATATATATATATATATATATATATATATATATATATATATATAAGAATGAACCTGTGGAATTTTGGGACTATTAGAGCGGATGGTTAGGAGAAGGAGATGACATTAGATAGAGAGGGGTTATGGTTGGCTGATAGGGGCTGTCGCCATTGATGGCACCTGTAGCTCTAGCCCTGTACAGTCGACTTATCTTTGTGTACACCTCGATTGCTTGATGGCTAATTTCCGATTTTATTCAATTTTTTTTTCAATTCAGTCGGACCAATGACGCGTTTAAAGAGCATTTTATTATGTATTTTAGAGCCATTTGACCAGTGCAAAACTAATCATCTCTAATTATTTACGATCTATACTAATGTTGAGGTATATTTTTTTCTTTTTCCCTCCGTTTCGGCTATACGGAGGTTTTTCCGGGCCAGGAGAGAGGGCGAGGGATTAATGCCAAGATTAAAAGTCACCCCCTCTTCATGGCATTCGAACTCGTAATCTTAATTATACCAGATTGCCTGGCAACGCGTGTTTTACAAACGCGTTTGCTCGTTCGGCTTTTATATCCTGTCTATATATTAGTGTTGAATGAAAAGCAGCTCTGATCCATTTTCTTTTCTATGTTATTCTATAAATTTCATAGCGTTTCAGTTAATTTTCATGTCAGTTATTTTGTCAAGGGCAATAGTTAAGTTTATTTATTTTAACTCTTAAACGCGAAACATGCCCTCCTATTTATCTTGATAATGCTGAAATTCCGCAAACAGATCAAATACAATACCTTGGACTGACATTCGACTGAAGATTCATAAAGGGCCCACATATCTACAAAAACAGAAAAGCGTTAAACCTCAGACAACGAATATTATGCTGACTTCCTTCAAGACATTCAAAATTAAAATCAAAACAAAAAATGAGCGTATACATTTATCTAATAAAGCCTATATGGACTTACGCTTCTCAAATATACGGAACAGCCAAAATGTCCCCACATACGGAAACTACAAACCTTTCAGTCAAAAACTTTTAGGACTATAACTAAAGCTCCATGGTACGTCACAAACATTATTTTACATAAAGATCTAAACATGCCAACAGTTAACGACCGCATACGGATACACTAAAAAAATTTCAAAATTTTAAAAACGGACACAATGATACAAGACATGGCCTCGATTAACATTCCAAAATACTCGCATTCTCGAAAGGAGCTTGATAAGAGATTTCCTCTCCTAAAATATACTGAATTCAAGTCAAGATGGGATGCCGCTGGGCACTCCTCTCTCACGCCGATCAAGCCCTATTAGTACTACCATTAGTAGTAGTATTTTTCCGACAGCAGACTCTCTAATCGTCAGTACTTCTGACAGGTGTGGATACAACAAAATAAAGATAAAAAAAAAATATATTTTCTTTTATACATATCATGAGGTAGCTTGCGTTAAATAATATTGTACGGTCAGTTTTATCGGTGGAGGATTGATGAATCTGGTATCGCCTGGTTAAGTTGCTTTTAGAGATCCTATGAAAATCCTTGTCTGCGTATGATGTAGATTAATGGTTCAAAGAATGGCCCTTAAAGTGTCTTCATTCAGAACCAGTATTATGGATAAAATCTGATGTTAGTCATATGGAACAAAATCTGTTATGATAGGTACAATAATGAAAATTATATTAGTTTCACTGATAAAATACATGTTAATTAAATTTAAAGAAATGTTTGTCTGTTGAGGGAGGGAATCGGGCAGAATGGCTTTCTCTAGTGTACTGGTGGACTGGTGGAAGGACATACCTTGGGTTCAGAATAAATCTGCAACTTATAGCTTCAAAATGGTCAGAGTCCGGAACGACCGCACTGAGTCAGCTACAAGAGACTAATTGAATGCACCAACCAAGCCACAAGTCAAATGACGAAGGCTGCATTTGTCCGTGCCTGTTTAAATGGCGACCGCCCAAGCGGGAAGACATATATCCCGGCCAGTGGTCCAACTCTTAACGGGGAGGCATGTATCCCGCAGTCAAAGGGAAGAAAAACACAATAAAATAACTGTTTTGTTCGAATTATTATTAATCTGTGGCTTCAAGAGCCATCGGATTGAGTTTTAAGGCGCTGGTGGATACTACATCCTTCAACACCTCTCAGTTGTGCCAGTTTAGTTTGCATACAGTCTGTGAAGGGGTCCATCCAGTCGTAATCCAATTTGGACTCTCCTTAATCCGAACTATTTAAAACCAAATGAGTTCGCATTACCGAACGGAATAAGACAGGTACATACAAAAAATCAAATGTTCATTATTTTTTCAAGGGGTGATACGGATTATGGAATGGTCCGGATTAGCAAGATTCAGATTTGCGAGAGTCCACTATAAAATATTGCTTAGCCTGTATTATTTAATATTCACATTTACTTTATCAAATATGTAGTTTTTAATTATTATAAATGAATAATAATTTGGTTATCACATTGTCGCTCATAACTCCGCATTGAGATTTGGGCACATCACAGGTAGCCATATATCTCATTAGTATATTATTGTAATTTAGTATGAAATCGTCGGTCAGGACTCTTTATTCTCGCTAAGATTAGACAGTTAAAGTATGTCTGAACCCTAACAAATATCTAACTGCCGACTCTGAAAAAAAAAAATCTGTCAAGAAAAAAGACTAAACGATGTGATACTATGTGTATGATAGTACGAGTATAGTCTTTGTAATAACCGACTCTGGCTGGTGTAAACTGTCATTTTTCTGAATGTTGTATTTATCCTAA